TTAGCAACTGTGTACAGTTCTTTTTGCCCATAGCCTTACAGTGTCTGGTCAAAACACCATTTTCCAGTTACTTAGGTCAGTCCCTTTCTTACCCACCTCTTTGAAAAGGGTTATGTCATGTATTTTACAATATAACTAGACTCATTACAACCTGCATTCCATATTGTAATCCCCCCAATATCCTGGTTGATTTTATTTTAATGTGCATTCAGGGTCACTCTTTGTAGTGCACAGTTTCATGGATCTGTCACCACAGTGCCATAGAGAACAGTTTTGTCACCCAAAGTTTACTTGTGTAACCCCTTCATGGTCAACGCGTTTCCTCATCCCAACCATTGATAACCACTGATCTGTTCTCTATTCTTTAGTTTCACCTATTCCAGAATCTTATAAATGGCAGCATATAATATGTAGCCTTTTGGATCTGGCTTCTTCACATAGGAAAGTGCATTTAAAGCTCATCTATGTTGTGTGAATCAGAAGTTCATTTTTCCTTATTGCTGAGTGGTATCCCATTGCATAGATGTATCACAGTTTATCCTTTCCTCTGTTTTAGGCATCTGGTTGTTTCAAGGTTTTGGTGATTGTGAATGAAGCAGCTTTGAATAAATATTCATATACAGGTTTTGTTTTCAGTTTATTTGGTGAAATACCTAGGAGTGTGATTACTGGGTCATAAGGTATGTGTATGTTTAACTCTGTAAAAAACTATTTTCCAAAGGGGCTTTATTTTTTGCATTTCCAGCAGCAGAGAATGACTGTTGCTCTGCATCCTCAGCAGCACTTGGTGTTGTCAACTTTTTAAGCCACTCTAATAGGTGTGTCGTGATTATATCATTGTGGTATTAATTTGCATTACTCTAATGTTTAATAACATGGAGCATCTTTTCATATATTTTTCAGAGTATACCTTCTGAGATGTACAAAATCTTATCTTTTAAACTGGATTTTCTTATTTTGAGAATTACAAGATTTATTCTGGATACAAGTTCCTCATAAAACATATGATTTGCAAATATTGTCTCTCAGTCTATAATTTATCCTCATTATTTTAAGAGTATCTTTTGCAGAGCAAAAGTTTTTAATTTTGATAAAGTCCAATTTAGCTTTTACTTGTATGGATTGTGCTTTTGATGCTTTATCTGAAAATTCATTTCCAAACACAAGATCATGCAGTACTTCTTCAGATTTTCTTCTACAAGTTTTATAGTTTTACATTTTACATTTAGATCTATGATCCATTTTGAGTTAATTTTTGTACAAAGCGTGAGGATGTTAAAGTTTATTTTTTGGTGTGTTTGGATATCCAATTTTTCTAGCACTATTTGTTGAAAAGATGATCCTTTCTGTGTTGAAATGCCTTTGTACTTCTGTCCAAACACAGTTGACTATTTGTATGGGTCTCTACTGTTCCATTAAACTGTATCTTTTGTTTTGCCCATACTATACTGTTGATTACTATACCTTTCAAATAAGTCTCGAAATCAAGTAATGTGAATCCTCCAACTTTGTTCTTCTTTTCAGAATTGACTATTTTAGTTCCTTCACTTTTCCATATAAATTTTAGAATCAGCTTGTCAATATCTACAAAAAAGCTTATTCAGAATTTGATTGGGGTTGTATTGAACCTATAGATCAGATTGGAGAGAATTTAACCATATGTTAACAATAATGAGTCTTCTAATCCATGAACACAGTACATTCGTCCCTCAGTATCCATGATGGATTGGCTCCAAGACTCTGCAGATACTAAAATCTGCAGATGCTCAAGTTTCTTACATAAAATGGTGTAGTATTTGCATATAATCTATACATATCCTCCCTTATACAGGCATACCTCATTTTATTGTGCTTCACAGATAATGCATTTTTTACAAATTGAAGGCTTGTGGCAACCCTGTTAATCAAGCAAATCTATCTGTGCCATTTTCTCAGCAGCGTGTGTCTCTCTGTTAGGTTTTGCTAATTCTCACAATATTTCAAATGTTTTCATTGCTTTATCTTTTATGGTGATCTGTGATCAGTGATCTTTGATGTTACTTTTATAATTGCTTTGGGGTGCCACAAACTGCATCCATATAAGACGGTGAACTTAATTGATAAATGTGTGTTCTGGCCGGGTGCGGTGGCTCACGCCTGTAATCCCAGCACTTTGGGAGGCCGAGGTGGGCAGATCCCTTGAGGCCAGGAGTTTGCAACCAGCCTGGCCAACATGGTGAAACCCCTCTCTACTAAAAATACAAAAATTAACTGGGCGTGGTGGCACGTGCCTGTAGTCCCAGCTACTCAGGAGGCTGAGGCAGGAGAATCACTTGAACCCAGGAGGCAGAGGTTACAGTGAGCTGAGATTGTGCCACTGCACTGCAGCCTAGTGACAGAGCAAGACTCCGTCTCAAAAAAAAAAAAAAAAAAAAAAAGGGTGTGTTCTGACAGCTCCTCTCACTGACTGCCATCTCTCTTTCTCCTCAGGTCTCCCTATTTCCTGAGACAACAATATTGAAATTAGGCCAATTAATAACACTGTTGATGGCCTCTAAAGTGCTCAAGTGAAAGGAAGAGTGGCATGTCTCTGGCTTTAAATCAAAAGCTAGAAATGAAAGAGCTTAGTGAGGAAGCCATGTCAAAAGCTGACACAGGCCAAAAGCTAGGCCTCTTGCACCAAATGCTTAGTCAAGTTGTGAATGCAAAAGGAAAAGTTCTTGAAATTAAAAGTGCTATTCCAGTGAACACATAAAAAAGTGAAAATCTTATTGCTGATACGGAGAAAGTTTGAGTTTTCTGGAGAGACGATCAAACCAGTCACAATATTCCCTTAAGCCAAAGGCTTATCCAGACCAAAGCCCTAATTGTCTTCATTTTTATAAAGGCTGAGAGGTAAGGAAGCTACAGCAGAAAACTGTGAAGCTAGCAGACATTGGTTAATGAAGTGTGAGGAAAGAAGCTATCTCCAAAAAAGTGCAAGGTGAAGAAGCAAGTGCTCATGCAGAAGCTGCAGCAAATCATCCAGATCTAGCCAAGATCACTGATGAAGGTGGCTACACTACACAGATTTCAGTGTAGATGAAACAGCCTTCTTTTGGAAGAGGATGCCATCTAGGACTTTCAGAGCTAGAGAGAAGTCAATGCCTGGCTTCAAAGTTTTAAAGGACAGGCAACTTGTTAGGGGCTAATAAGGCAGCAGGTGACTTCAGGTTGGAGGAAGGAACTGCAGATGTGGTGGAAATAACGAAAGAACTAGAATTAGAAGTGAAGCCTGGCCAGGTGCGGTGGCTCACGCCTGTAATCCTAGCATTGGGAGGTCAAGGTGGGCAGATCACTTGAGGTGAGGAGTTTGAGACCAGCCTGACCAACATGGTAAAACCCCATCTCTACTAAAAATACAAAAATTAGCTGGGCGTGGTGTCATATGCTTGTAGTCCCAGCTATTAGGGAGGCTGAGGCGGGAGAATCGCTTGAACCCGGGAAGCAGAGGTTGCAGTGAGCTGAGATCGCACCATTGCACTCCCGCCTGAGTGACAGAGTGATACCCTGTTTCCAAAAAAAAAAAAAAAAAAAGCCTGATGTGACAATTGCTGCAATCTCATTATCTTGAGTGGATGAGAAGTTGCTTCTTATGGATATGAGCAAAGAAAATGATTTCTTGAGATGGAACCTATTCCTGGTGAAGATGCTATGAATACTACTGAAATAACTAAGCATTTAGAATATGACATACACTTAGGTGATAAAGCAGCAGCAGGGTTTAAGAGAATTGACTCCAATTTTGGAAGTAGTTCTACTACAGGTAAAATACTGTCAAACAGTATTGCACGCTACAGAGAAATCTTTTGTGAAATGAAGAGTCAATCAATACAGCAAACTTAATTGTTAAGAAATTACCACAGCCACCCCAAACTTCAGCAACCATACCCCTACCCTGATCAGTCCACAGCCATTAACATCAAGGCAAGACCCTCTACCAGCAAAAGGATGACAACTCGCTGAAGGCTCAGAGAATCTTTAGCATTTTTTAGTAATAAAGTATTTTAAAATTAAGGTATATACATTAAGTAGACAATGCTATTGCACATTTACTAGACAACAGTATAAACATAACTTTTATGTGTACTGGAAAACCAAAACATTTGTGTAACCCACTCTATTGTGATAATTCACTTTAATGCAGTGGTCTGTAACCAAACCTGCAATATCTGAGGTATGCCTGTACTTTCAATCATCTCCATTACTTATAATACCTAATACAATGTAAATGCTATGTAAATAGGTGTTATACTCGATTTTTAAATTTTTATTATTTTTACTCTTTTGTTTTTCCTTTTCCTGAATATTTTTTGTTTGGGGTTGAATCCATGGATGCAGAACCCACAGAGGGCCAACTGTATACCTCTCCATTTAATCTGATGTAGTCTCCTTCCAAGTGTTTCCTAGTTCTCAGCATACAGGCCTCCATATATTATATTTATACCTAAGTATTCCTTTAATTTTTTTTTGGTGCTATTCACAAATGGTATTTTTAAAATTCCAATTGTTTATTGCTGGTATATAGGAATATAGTTTTCCTTGTGTATATTGACCTTGTTTCCTGCAACCTTTCTATGACTGTCTTGTAGTTCTAGGAGCTCTTTTCGTGCATCCATTGGTACATTCTGTAAGATAGTATTATATGTGAGTAGAGCTAGTTTTAGTTCTTCCTTCCCAGTGTGTATGCTTTTTCTTTTTTGTCTCACTGGACTAGCTAGACATCCAGTTACTGTCCCAACATTAAGTGTGATACTAGCTATAGGCTTTTTTATAGATGGCTTTTATTATTTTACTTGTATATTTTAAGTTCACCCTTCTTCCTTATAAACCTTCCACAAACCCTCATCGTTTCTCACTTGGGCTGTTGTAATAGCTCTTGCCTGTATTAAAATGCTAACTCCCATTTATTTCACTTCTATGTATATTATAAATTTTATCTGCCTACTATCCATCCTCTAATTAAAAAAAAGAAAAAAGTACATGTGTTTATAACAGGTTTTACTTTTTTTCTTAAAATAGAGATTTCTTACTAAATACCATTTTATTTCAATTCTTCACAGATCTGGTTCTTGATCATCTTAATTATCAAGTGTCGGATACAGGGAACAAGAATTGATATTCACTATCATTTAAACTACTACTGTCCCATAGTCAGTGGAGCTTTTTTTAATGTCCAGAAAGAATACTTTCAATCTTTATGAATAGCCTAGGATTTTGCAGTTGAAGGCTCAAATTGTCCTGCTTCAAATTTTTCTTTGAATTTTAAGTAGTCTCTTCTTTTATCGAAATATTTTATCTGTTGAAAAAAAAAAAGGATTTGAAATAAGGGCAAGTTATGCAACTTAGATAAGCAAAAGCACAGATTTAAATGTAACACATTATTCAACATAAATTTAAGTGATTTATATTCTAGAATCATTTTCAATTGAGGCATTTGATGAATACGTCTCTGAGGAGAGTGTAGACCAGTGACTTCTAATCCTTTTTGGGTTTTAGACCATATTGAGAATTTGAATAACTCAGGAACCTTCTCAAGAAATGGACCCATGTGCACACAGGTCAGGCTTGCAGGCAAGTTCAGAGTCCACAGAGAGCTCTCAGGTAGGTCAGAAGGCTTCAAATGTGAACACATTGGACCATTTTTTCTTTCTTCTTTTTTTTTTTTTTTTTGAGACAGAGTCTCACTCTGTTGCCCAGGCTGGAGTACAGTGGCGCAATCTCAGCTCACTGCAACCTCCGCCTCCCAGGTTCAAGCTATTCTCTGGCCTCAGCCTCCCAAGTAGCTGCAATTACAGGCACCTGCTACCATGCCCGGCTAATTTTTTTGTATTTTTAGTAGCAATGGGGTTTTGCCATGTTGGCCAGGCTGGTCTCAAACTCCTGACCTCAAGTGATCCACCTGCCTAGGCCTCCCAAAGTGCTGGGATTTACAGGCGTGAGCCACCATGCTGAGCCTGGACCATTTTTCTTACCAACTCTAAATTCATCTTCATTGTCAGACTAGAAAACACTAGTTCTTTTGTTAAAAGCCTTTCTTAGGATTTAATTCTTAAATATTTCAGTGGTGCTTGTAAATAAAAATTAGCTTGGACTAAAAATGTAAAAATCTGCCCTGCCCTGTATCAATCAAGCTGGGATAACAGACACACAAAGTCAGCTGAAAGGAAACATGTCCCCGAGGGCGTACCACAGCCACGGAGTGTGCTAATAGATCCGTTATTTGAGTGACTACTGCTTTCTTATTCATTGAGAAATCTTGTTCTCTAAAATCATCAGCTACCAGAAATTTGCTGTTTGAAGTCTTATCTGTAAGAAGGAAACATCCCACTTTTGTCTAGATCTAAGGCACCCTGACACAGAAGCAGCCTCGATCTCCAACTCAGCTTCAGAATGTCAGATAACATTTCTCAACATGAACATGACACTCAATCTTTTAACTTCAAAGAAGAAAACCCTGGTCCACTTTTCAATCCAGAGCTGATGATGACACCTATGCTTTGTACTGAGGTTGTCAAAACACCATTTCATTTAAATTTTACCTAAACTCCATTCTTCCCCTAAACTTCTAACCACTCTCTTTTTCTTTGTTGGTGAGATGCCCACAGTTCCTCTGGTGTGTGGTCTTCCTGGTTATAAGCATTCACAAATCAGACTACAGATTCATCCCTGGTGGTCTCCGGCTGATTGGGCTAGCATGGATGTTATATATAGGATACCAAAGGAAGAAGTGGACAATGCCCTTAACATTTTTGTGACAAATTAATAGATGTTTGCATCTCCTGTCACATCTCCAACTGCCTAAGACAACGCCCTTTAGAGGTTGTACTGACACTGCAGTCCCAACTTGTCCAGAACTTTGCTCCTCTCCAAACATGTTTCTCCTCTAATACCTATTTCAATGAACACATCACATCCACCTAGACCCTTAGATCTCTTTTCTCCTCTTCACTGCCCCAGCGCAAACCCTCATCATTTCTCACTTGGGTTGTTGTAACAGCTCTTTCACTGGCTTCTCTATTTCCAGGCTCAACCATCCTTAATCCACCTGTCCCAGGCTGCCAGAGTATAATCTTTCTGAAACCCAAATTTGATCAGGTCACTTGCTTGTTTGAAGATCTTTCAAGGTATTCATATTGCCTTTAAGGTTTGTAAGACAAACAAGGCCACTGATGGCTTCATCCCAGGCCACATGTCCATCCTCTCTGAATTTACCAGCAGTCACTGAACTGTTTGTCCTACAGAACTACCCCATGCTCATTTCCTGTGCATCTTGATTCCATGCCTTCTCATAGTATCACATTCTGCCTGGAAAGCTCTCCTCCCTAGCCCTCACCTTCTCTTTCAAACAGTCTAAGACCCTCAACACATGGTCCTTTCTCTAAAAGGCTAATGAATCAAGAAGGATTCATTGAGAAATACTGTGTACACATAAGCGAGTGGTCTCTAAACCACTGAATAAGACCCAGGACAGTAGTGTGAATGCCAAAATACTGGGATCTCTGAGACATTTCAAAGTTTTATAGAAAAAAAGACAATATGTGAATTTGATATTAAGATCAGAGATCTTGGATATTTGGTTGCTCTGTTTGTGGAACTTTGTTAGATGATGCTATAATGATAGGCCTGATCCCTGCTCCTAATTTAGGAATAGGAGACTTTTTTTTTTTGAGACAGAGTCTCACTCTGTCACCCAAGCTGGAGTGCAGTGGCGTGATCTCGACTCACTGCAACCTCTGCCTACCGGGTTCCAGTGATTCTCCTGCCTCAGCCTCCCAAGTAGCTGGGACTACAGGCACGCACTACCATGCCAGGCTAATTTTTGCATTTTCAGTAGAGACAGGGTTTTGCCATGTTGGCCAGGCTGGTCTCGAACACCCGACCTCAGGTGATCACCTGCCTTGGGAGTGGTGGCTCACGCCTGTAATCCCAGAAACTTTCAATAGGACCGTTATACAAGTCACACTGATGAGTGCTATAAAATAGACATGTGAGTACTAGAGAGAACTAATTTGTTTTTGTAACAGCTAGCATATCAGTTGTATGGCATATTTATTTTGTAATAAGCATGTATTTTTGGTGTTTTGGGATAGAATTATTCATTCTAAATCCCAATTTGGTGGTACTATTTTTATCTTTATTTCGTGGCTGTAACATCAGCTAAGTAAAAGATCCAAATTTTGAAATCACAGACATTGAAATCCTCTCTCTACTACTTTACTGGTTGGCTGGTCTAAGACATTATTTTACCTTTCTGAGCCTTAGTTCCTATTGTATAAAACAGATCCAACAGTACCTCGCAAGACTGAATGAAAATTAAAGGCAATAAAAACAAAGCCTCTCATTCAGAATTCACTCAAAAGATATTTCCATTTTCTTGCCCTCCCATGTGCCTCCCCACCCTTACGCACACATATCTCTGGAAAAACTTTTCAGCTTTTATTCTATGGCAGTTGGGTAGGACTTTGACAAGGTAATACTTGAAAAGAGAGCACAGGTGAACAGCGAGCGAAGAACCGATAGTGAAGGGCAGGCTGAGAAATAAGTCAGTTATGCACTAAGAAAGAACAGTGTTGCAGAAGAACATGGGTGTAAATGGGAAACGGGCTATCACTGTCAAATGCTGCAGAAGTCAATCGGAATAATTTACTATATTACCTGCTTCCCTTCTTCGTTACAGTCGTCTACAACTTCGCAGGTCACCATCTGATAGTTAGGCTTTGTGTCCCCACCCAAATCTCATCTTGAATTGTAATCCCCATAATCGCCACGTGTCAAGGGAGAGACCAGGTGAAGGTTGAATCACCGGGTAGTTTCTCCCATGCTGTTCTCGTGAAAGTGAGTGAGTTCTCATAAGATCAGGTGGTTTTACAAGTGGCTCTTCCCCCTTTGTTTGGCACTTCTCCTTCCTGCCGCCTTGTGAAGAAGGTGCCTGGCTTCCCCTTCACCTTCCGCCATGATTCTAAGTTTCCTGAGGCCTCCCCAGCTATGCTGAACTGTGAGTCAATTACACCTCTTTCCTTTATAAATTAACCAGTGTCAGGCAGTTCTTTCCAGCAGTATGAAAACGGACTAATACACCATCATTTTCTCCAACAATACTCAGGTCACAACTCGTGGGTAATTTCAATGTCCGCATACTGATCTTTTCAATACCATGGCCTCTCAGTTCCTTGACCTCTTCAATGATCTCATCCTCCAACCTACCTTACTCCCAGGATCAAAGCTTATATCTTGTCCTCATAACAAATACAACCCTTCCATAATTCCAATTGTGAGAATCCCATTCTCCAACCCCTACCTCTGAACATTGCCTCTTGGACTTAATGCCAACAGCCCATCAGTCTCACCACCTTTCCACTGATTGTCATCCCTCTCATGGCCTCATTTCCCTCCTTACTCTTAAACCCAAAGCTCTCCAATGGCTTTCTGTATTACTAAGAGTAAAAGCACCAACCATGAATGGGCACAGTGGCTCACATCTATAATCCCAGCACTTTGGGAGGCTGAGATGGGCAGATCGCTTGAGTCCAGGAGTTCAAGACCAGCCTGGGCAACATGGCAAAGATCACACCACTGCACTCCAGCCTGGGCAACAGAGTGAGACCTGTCTCAAAAAAAAAAAAAGAAAAAAATTAAAAAGTACCTCCCTGGCCTCCCATCTCTTGGCTCTAACTTTTGCTATTCTTCCTGTCCCTTAAACACATTTTTTTTTAAAACAAAACAAAACAAAAAAATCAGAGTCTTGCTGTGTTGCCCAGGCTGGAGAGCAGTGGCATGATCTCAGCTTACTGCAACCTCCACCTCCCGGGTTCAAGCAATTCTCCTGCCTCAGCCTCCCAAATAGCTGGGATTACAGGTGCCTACCATCACACCCAGCTACTTTTTGTATTTTTAGTAGAGATTGGGTTTTGCCATGTTAGCCAGGCTGGTCTCAAATCCTGACCCCAGGTGATCTGCCCGCCTCGGTCTCCCAAAGTGCTGGGATTATAGGCATGAGCCTCTGTGGCTGGCCCATCAGTGCAGGTTTTTGGCTGTTTCATTCTCTCTGCCTGGAATCCTCTTCACCAGGTTATCTGCCTATCTGTTCCCTAACTTTTTCCTAACTTTGTAAAAATAGTTTCTGTATAAATAAAACCTTTCCTGACCATCCTACTTAAACCTGTACCCTTGTTTGATTTTTCATCCTATCACTTATCACCATATAACATTCTTTTAATTCTACTACTTGTTTCTCTCCCCATAGTAGAATGTATGCTACAAGAGGGCTGAGCACTCTATTTTTCCTTGCTGTATTTTCCTATGGCACATGGGAGGTGCTCAATATATTTGTGGAATGACTAAATGAACAGGATATAGACCAAAAAAAACATGACAGTAGAGCTGAAGGAGGGCCATCATCTATATTTGGGAGATTTTTTTCGATATCATTTCATTAAAATGGACAAGCTATGTGTTCTTGAACTTTTCTTTAATAAATACGCTTCTTATAAAACATGTGAATGTGTTACTTTTCTTGTCAGAAGGGGAACACTGAGTCTCCACTCTAGATCCATTAACTATAATACTCCTTCCCTGGACAAGACAAGTACTTGAACTGATGATGAACACAGTCATTCCTCTCCTTCACCCCCTGGCAGCAAGACGAGCTGTGGAGAGCTTGCACTCAGCTCTGCAGTTCTACGGGTGAGTTTTATAGGTACAGACCCCATGTGGGGGTGCTGTGGTGGCTTCATGCTGCCTGCAACTGGACAGGTGGGATTATGGCCACTACTGGGTCTCTGTCCAGATTCCCTCTGCAGACCCATGTACCTACTCCCTGCTGCGCTGGGCAGTGGCTGCTAACACCAGATGGCTGCCCCCTTCTCCAGAGACCTGCCCCTCAGCCAACGCCAGTGACTGGCAGGCACAAAAGTCATTAATTATGGTGCAATTCACACTCCAGAGTTTCCAGAAGGATCAGACTAAAGCTGGACAGCAGCTGAGCTCACAGCCCTGACTTATCTAGTCTCCCTCCCGAGAACACTCCAATAATTCAGTCAAGGTTGACATCCAGGGCCCGGGTCCTAAGTTGATGCTGGTGTCTTTCACTGAAGCTGGAAGCATGGGAGGAGGTCTAATGGGTGCATGATGCGGAAGAGCTCACTCTTGTATATGCAGATGTCAACGTTGGTCCTCATGCATCTCCAACGGGAAGCTAACGGGTGGCTGAAAAGGCAGTTCTGGAGCTGGAGAAAGGGCCAGGCTGGAGACGCACCTTTGGGCACTGTATGGCCTGAAGGCTCATGCACCTCCCAAATTCCCATGTTGAAGCCTTAACCTCAATGTGATGGCATTTGAAGGTGGGGCCTATAGGAGGTGATTAGGTTTAGATGAGGTCATGAGGATGGGCCCTGCTAACCTGATGGGATTAATGTCCTTATAAGAAGAGGAAGAGCCGGGTGCAGTGGCTCACGCCTATAATCCCAGCACTTTTCGAGGCCGAGGTGGGTAAGAGGTCAGGAGTTCAAGACCAGCCTGGCCAAGATGGTGAAACCCCACCTCTACTAAAACTACAAAAATTAACTGGGTGTGGTGGCGGACGCCTATAATCCCAGCTACTCAGGAGGCTGAGGCAGGAGAATTGCTTGAACCCGGGTGGCAGAGGTTGCAGTGAGCTGAGATCACGCCACTGTACTCCAGCCTGGGTGACACAGTGAGACTCTGTCTTAAAAAAAAAAAAAAAAAAGAGGAAGAGACTGGACCTCTCTCTCTCTCTGCTGGGTGAGAACACAGCAAGAAGGTGGCTGTCTACAAGCCAAGAGGAGGGCTCTCATTAGAAACTGACCATGCTGGCATCCTGATCTCAGACCTCAAGCCTCCAAAACTGTGAGAAATAAATTTCTTTAAGGTATTTGGTTATGACAGCCTGGGCTAACATAGGCATCAACACATAAGCTGGGACTTCAAGCCATGGCTGTAAACAGGATTGCCTTGGACAAGTGAGTAGCAGAGAAAGGAGCTCTAATAAACACGGGCATTTAACACACTCACAGGAAGGCATTCCAAAGAGTGGTGGCTGCTAGACATGAATGAAGAAACTGGGTGAGAGAACTGTAAAGGGACCCAAGGAGACAGGGCTTTTGTATTTAAGTAGACTTGAATTATAACTCAGTTTCTAGAACAACATGAGACTTGTGCAAGCTATTTTCACAGATCCTGTTCTTGCACGGTAGGCACAGGGAGAAGTATGTGGGGTCTGGAATCAGACTACTGAGTTCAAATGCAGGCTCTGTAACTACAAGTGACTTCATGTCAATGTGCCCTTACCTATAAAACTGCTAAGAGAGTTCCATGAAGGATAAAGAACATAGATGACACATTTCAAGTGTGTAGACTGTAGAGAGGATGTACTCAATTTATGTTAGCAGTGACCATGATGCAGTGACCCGGAGAGAGGTTGGGGCCTCAGGGGATGGCACCCAGTCTGCTTGAGTGGGAGAGATGTACCATCAAGAACCAAACGGTTGGCTGTAAAAACCCTTTCTGACACACAGACTAGAAGACGCCCTGGAAGTGTGGGAGTGGGAGCCATCAGGCTGGAGAAAAAGCAGTGGGTTTCAGGAGGAGAGAGAGGATAAAAGTGGGATCGAAGGGGAACTCCAGCTTAAACCTGGAGTTGCTCTCAATGCATCTGTCTAATGGCAAAACTACAGAGGTACAACATTTTCTGCTGGAATCATTATCTAATTCAATCACACAGTCCCACACTGATCAGTTTTCGGTTTACATGTCAAGTTATGTATTTTGTCTTCATAACAATCCCATGCGATAGGCTGTATCAGGCTGGTTTTACAGATGAAGAGTTCATCTAAAGCAACGTCTGGCCAGATGTGGTGACTCAACACCTGTTAATCCCAGTGCTTTGGGAGGTCAAGGTGGGAAGATCACTTGGGCCCAGGAGTTTGAGACCAGCCTGGGCAACATACTAAGATCCTGTCTTCACAAAATATTTTTAAAAATTAGCCAGGTGGCCAGGCGCGGTGGCTCATGCCTGTAATCCCAGCACTTTGGGAGGCCTGGGTGGGCAGATCACAAGGTCAGGAGATCGAGACCATGGTGAAACCCCATCTCTACTAAAAATATAAAAAATTAGCCGGGCGTGGTGGCGGGCGCCTGTAGTCCCAGCTACTCGGGAGGCTGAGGCAGGAGAATGGCGTGAACCCGGGAGGCGGAGCTTGCAGTGAGCTGAGATCGCGCCACTGCACTCCAGCCTGGGCGACAGAGCGAGACTCCGTCTCCAAAAAAAAAAAAAAAAAAAAAAATTAGCCAGGCATGGTGGCAGATGCCTGTAGTGCCAGCTTCTCAGGAGGCTTAGGCGGGAGGACTGTTTGAGGCCAGGAGGTCAAGGCTGCAGTGAGCTATGATCACACCACTGCACTCAAGCCAGGGTGACAGATTGAGAACCTGTCTCTGAAAATTAAAGAAAGAAAAAGAAAGTAATTTCTGTTCACTGTGTTCATCCCCAGCTCAGCCACCAATACGACTCCTCCCTGCATCATAGCCTTCTTGTGGCCTCCTTCGAAGCCTCTTAAAGGTGTGAGGTATGAGAGGGTAAAACCCCTAAAACCACTCCAACTCTAAAATTATCTGTTTTCCAACTACACGGTATATTTTGGAGCGACATAAGATAGTGAAAAAGCACAGACAAATCCAAGTTCAAATCCCACATCAGCCAGCTAGGACTGCCTTAAAATTACAGTTCTACCATTCACTGAGTAATAACAAGCAAGTCACTTCAATGCTCTGAGCTTCCTCTGGAGATAGAGAATAACAACGTCTTGCTCTGTGGTCCACACTGGAATGCAGTGGTGTGATCTTGGCTCACTGCAACCTCCACCTCCCGGGTCCTGGTTCAAGCAATTCTCCTGCCTCAGACTCCTGAGTAGCTGAGACTAGAGGCACATACCACCATGCCCAGCTATTTTTTTTGTCTTTGTATTTTTAGTAGAGATGGGGTTTCACTATGTTGGCCAGGCTGGTCTTGAACTCCTGACCTCGTGATCTGCCCGCCTCGGCCTCCCAAAGTGCTGGGATTGCCGGCGTGAGCCACCACGCCCAGCCAACAGCACCTATCTTAACAGGTATTGGTGAAGATGAAAATGTCAAGCACTTAGCACACACGGCCACTTACTAACCTCAGTAACAGTCCCCTTTCCAATCCCCCCTTATACTAAGGGCAGGGAATACAGCGCTTGAATGCCTGTCAGGGAGACAGAATCTACCATATGAACCTTTTTTTTCTTCTACTTATCAAACTCCTTTCTTTGTATTTTGGGTATATGATGACTTAAAGGATTTTGGGTGAGCAACTGGGAATGTTTTATTTCTGCTAGTAGCTCTAGGCCAATTAATTTTGCCAACTCCTGCCCAAGATTAAATACTACCCCTTCAGAAGATCCTGGAAAAGTCCACCCGTGAAATGAACTGGAATTTTTTGGTTATTGTTCATACGTTTGTTGTGTTTTCCAATGCTCTTTAATGTGTCAGCTGACATTCTCCAAAGATCTACCTGATGTATGTGCATCAAATAAGGCTAGATTACCAGGCAAGGTTTTCTCTGTGCCTCAAAGACACTGTTAATTGACATGCCTCAGAGAGTGCTTCATGTCAGCCTACCACTCACAGTATAAGCTCGATGTATTTTAATAGGGAAGAGAAACACATCTGTGACTTACCCACTGTTGGGGACAACTTGATTCGAAAGAGCTTCTTAACTTCTTGCATTGAGAAGCATCCTCTAAGTTCTCATCTAAACACTTCCAGTACTCATCCCGGGCCCCCCAGCAGACCTGTCTTTCCTTCATAGATGGCGCTGCCATTCCTACTGGGATGAAGCTGTTGGCCAAAATAACATTTGAGATTAACAACGAACTTTGTAATCTGAAGAGAAGGTAAGGGAAGAGGAAAACTGTCAATCTCCTCTTCCTTTAAAACTAAAACAAAAAACAAAAAACCATGCTTCGGGATTTTGATGATGCAACTGAACCCAATCAGTTCTCGGTGGCAGCATAAGACCACTCGCTCTTGACGCTTATCTCACACTGTGTGATTTGATCCCTGCTGGGGCGGCAGCGTGGGCTACGAAAGCCTGGCTGAGAACTGTGGCTCTGTCCCAGTCGCTTAGGGCAGTTCATTTATTCTCTCCGAGGCCGTTTCCCACCAGTAAAGCGGGAACAGCAGTGCCTAGTTTACAGGGTTACTGTTCGAACCTAAGCGCTGTAGAAACAGGTGTGCAGGGGCTACAATCACCAAGCAGGCGACTAGAGTGCCACCCCGTTTTGCACAAGAGGAACCCGCGGCTCGGGGACAGCAAGGGATCTCCCGGGCCCACACTCCATGCGCGCCTCACCCGGACCCCTCAGCGAGCCGACCTCTCTGCCCGCCCACGTCTGGCTTCCTTCCGATGTCGACGAGAGGAAAGGGTCGCGCAGGCCACCAACCGACGGTGGAGGGCGCGGTGCCGAGTCCTGCCACTGCAGGGTCGCCCCGCTGGCTCGAGCTCTAGAAGAATAGATCTCCCCAACCGCAGAAAGCAATTCACTCGGCGAAATCGCGGACTCTTTTGACCCTTCCGGGCTACCATTTACTTTCCACAGGGGGCGGGACTTCCTGTTTCTCTTTTATCTGTAGGACTGACTTCCGGCCTTCAAGGGCAAGAAGGGTATATACGTATATATCGTCGCGCAGTGTGTCCCGGAAGGCTTAATGGGCTAGCCCCGCGGGACAGGGCGAGCCGAGGGGTTTGTGTATAAGCCCCGTGGGACAAGGCGAGCCGAGGGGTTTGTGTGGAAGTTTGCACCTGAGAGTGCGAGAAGTGGATGGAGTGTTGCAGAACCGCAATACGTTCTCGTTTTGTTTTGTTTTTGATACAGGGTCTCGCTCTTCCGCCCAGTCTTGAGTGCAGTGGTGAGAACACGGTTTACTGCAGCCTCAAAATCCTGGACCCAAAAGATCCTCCCATCTCAGCCTGCCTCCCGGGTAGCTGGGACTACAGGCGCACAACACCGTCGCTTCTTTGATTAAAAGAAAAGGATGAAACGGGCCCCAGAAAGAGGCGGTGACGTCCCAGAACCCATGGCGGGGGAGTTGGGAAAATAAATATTTGTATTGTTATCTCCCTTGTGGCTTTTTTTAACCTCCGAAACAGCAAGGTATTTTTAAAAGGGATGAAGAGAGTTGCTTCAAATGTTTTGAGATGTTATTTTTAATACGTGAGTTACTATCTTAGAAACAAAATGAACAAGAAAAAAATGAAAATTTTAGAAAATATGCGTTAATATCTCAGCAGAATCTTTATTAAAAAGCATGTTTATAGTCAGTCATCTGGCACCCCGTTCTCTTAATAGATTCCATCTGTTCCACCATCTAGTTCTAAAACATTTATATAAGGTAAGCAATTTACAATTTTGCACTCAGTGCAGTTTGAGCCATTCCAAATTCAATATATGCAGACTTCAGGGTGGCGATGTGAGGCTAAGTACCACCAAATATGTGTTCTGCAATATAGAAAGTATTTCCCCCATAGTTAATGCACTCTAATAGCGGAGTTACTTTAACTTTACCAGAGCCAACCCCTTCTTTTACATCATGTCTATTGACGTCGGTTTACATATAGATGTCTTTTAAATATGACTGATGGGATATAAAAGGAATGAAAGGAAAGAGTCTTAGATGACTTCTGAGTCTAAAAAGGAAATGTGTTTTAAATTTAAAATTTATATGTACCTAATGAAAAATACATATGAAACAAAGTGAAGCGACAGAATTACAAAGAAAAAAATGCCTGGTCATACTGGGTAATTTTAACAGGTCTTTCTCACTAATTGTTAAGACTAGCAAGAGAAAAATTAAGAATATAGGAAACGTGAATACCGCAATTAATATATACAGAACAACACGACCAAAATCAGAATGTACAGTTTTTTGAAAGCAGACACAACACATCACCACAGTCAACCACATACTTAGTTATAAAGCAACTCAACAAATTTTGAAAATTGAAATAATTTTCATTTTTTACTACAGTGCATTTAAGATAGAAATCAATAAAGAACTGTAAAAAGTTGAATAACAGAGACAGAGTTGATGGTATTGAGAAAATACTTTGAACTGAACCATAAAATACAATAGCAACACCTGTGGGATGAAACTAAAGCAGCACTTAGAGGGACATTTATAGCCATAATTAAGTATATTAAAAGAGTCTGAAAAGTCTTGAGCTGAAAATCACTTTTCAAGACGTTAGTAAAAGGACAGCAAAATAAGACAGAAAATAGAAGGACAGAAATAACGTTAAGAGCAGAAATTAATGAAATGGAAAATAAAAGCAGTGGTGTACCAGAGCCAGCCTGTACTGGCATGGGAGAGCCAATTGTGCACACCTCTTGGCAACTCCATGATCAATAACATCAAATAAGTAGCTTGAAGTCACCTATGATGGGACTGTTTATGGAAATCAACAAACAAGCCAGGATTTTGTTTTATGTTTGGAGCTAATTCACCAGCACACCACAGCATAGAATAGGTTGAAAGAAACCAAAAGCTGATTTATTAGGAAAAAAACTAATTAAAATTGGCAAACATCTAATAGCTATAAAAGGAGGGATGTCAACAATCTTTATCAAGAATGGAAACTAGAAATACTATAGACATCAAAAAAGTTAGATAATCTTGTAAACAATTTAGTGCAAATAAGATTTAGATGACTGTACAGATTTCAAGAAAAACAACTGACTCAAAAGTAGAGAAACCATTAAGTAATTTGAATGAGAGTGAAGAATCTTCATACACACAAATCCTAGGTACATGGCTCCACCAGTAAGTTCCTAAAAGCTTTGAAATAATTCCATTCTTACTGAATAAAGCTACCATAACTTTTGTACTAATTGTAAAATCCCCAAACCTCTGAAACACCAAACACTTTGGAACTCATTTGATGAAAAATACGTCTTAAAGTAACATGAGACTCTTTATAGTTGTTATTAACGTTACCACTTAGGTGACGGCATATGTTTTTCTGTAGAAATATTAATGTATTTCATTATGGGTACTGTCCCAGTTCTTGCTGAGAATATTATACAATATATGTTGTATGTTTCAAACTAGCCTTCTAATATTTAAAATAGTCTATATTTCAAACATCTGGCTCCAGGGATTTCAGATAAGTTATGTGGACCTATATGAGAAAAAATCTTTATGACGTAGGTTAAGAGGAATTTTTAGGCATAAAGGAAAAGCTCAGTAATTATCAAATGATGTGGCCGGGCGCAGTGGCTCACGCCTGTAGTCCCAGCACTATGGGAGGCTGAGGCAGGCACATCATGAGGTCAGGGGTTCGAGACCAGCCTGGCCAACATGGTGAAACCCCGTCTCTAATAAAGACATAAAAAAGTAGCCAGACATGGTGGTGTGTGCCTGTAATCCCAGCTACTCAGGAGGCTGATGCAGGAGAATTGCTTGAACTCAGGAGGCATAGGTTGCAGTGAGTCGAGATCATGCCATTGCACTCCAGCCTGGGCGACAGGGCAAGACTCTGTCTCAAAAAAAAAAAAAAAAAAAAAAAGATGTATTACATACATAAAAATATTGGGCTACATAAAAGTAATGGGCTTTTATTTACCAAACAATACCATGAAGTGAGTGAAAAAGAATTAGTACCCAGAATATGCAAATAACACAAATCAATAAGAAATAGACTTGCCCATTTTGAAAATGGGCAAAAAGCTTAAACAGGCACAGCACCAAATGCAAATGACTAATATATGAAAGGACCAACATTCTCATTAGTAACTATAGAAAGAAACATGAAGATAACAATGCAGTACTATTAGACACACACCAGATCAAAAAAAAAAATTTAAAGTCTGACAGAAACAAGTTTTAAGGAAGAAGCAATGAATATCCTCATACACTATGGTAGCATAAATTGATACAATCAGGGAAAACAGTGTGGCATTATCTAGTAAGATTGAAGATACACATTCACTGTGACTCAGCAACTCTACAGAATTTCCTGTACATGTGCATTTTTGCTGAAACCATTATAAAACCCAAACTTGTATCAACAATAGAATGGATAAATTATGGTAATCGTACTGTGAAATGCAATAGAGCAACAAAGAGAAACAAACGATTATCTACAATAACATGGTGAATTGCCATACTGAGACAACCAAGGAATACAGAATGTTTCCACTTACATAAAGTTCAAAAACGGGCAGAACTCTACTATATTGTTTAAAATACAGTCATAAGTAGTAAAACTATAAAGAAAAGCTAAGACATGGTTATCACAAATGTTCCTCTCCAGTGTGAGAAAGGAGACATGATCAGGGAGGGGCACATGGGATGGGGGGCTCCTGTTTTATATACGGACCTGAGTGTTTGCTTTATAATTATTCTTGAAATAAACTGTACATATATGTTTTATTCACTTTTCCATAGGAATGTATATCTTACAATTTCTAAACAAATAAAACGAGTCATTGACCTGAGAAAGGTCATCTTTAATAAATTTGATTTATAGAAAGGTAAAAATAGTGGTCATACAGAACATTTGTAGTGTGGTTACTAAATTTTTAATGAATTTAGTATCTTAAGTGCTCTTCGAGGTCAAAAGTTAGTGGTCTCTAGTGCTAAATGCCACTGTGCACCTAAGCAATTCCTAGTGGTCTGTGGTAAGCCTAAGGGATAGACAAGAAACATATTACCAGGGAGATGCAGTGAGGTGCAATAACATCCCCCACCTTACCTCTGAAGAAGTCTGTAGTTCACCAATTGGGAAACGCTGGTTTCACTAACAAAGCAAAAACAAACTAGAGGAGAGGAATTTTGAGGTGTTGATAAGAAAAAGAAAATTAACACAGGATAACAATCGCAAAGACCATTTCACCTTATAAAATCTTAAAGATTAAAATGGAAGAATGTGGGTGCCATAAAATGATTTCAAGTGTGCTGTTTTGACACAAAGAGGGTGTAATCACCCAGCCTATGTTTGGAGGAGAGAGGAGGCGAGGAGGAGTCAGTGTGAAGAGGTGGAAGACGTGTTGTGCTGGGTTGCCATCCAGAGGAAATTTCGAGTGGGTGCTCTCCAGTCGGAACGAAGTAGATCCCCAAACCACTGGTGGGCAGGGCCAGACAGACCCAGTCGCACTGAAAATGTATGTGTTGTTTTTCTGTTGCTGCCCACAGACTTTTATTTATAATCTGTACTGTTACAAAGCAGTTATCACAGACACCCACTCACGGACACAAACCGGAGAACGATTCCCTTGACTTCAGTGTTGCTACAGCGATCTTCTGAGTTTCTTCTAGCTTTCTGTGCTGTCTCCTTGCCTTCCCCAACCCCCTTAACTATAGGTATGCGCCAAGATGCTGTCCCTTCATTTCTTTCTCTCGTCTCCTCTCTCTCTCTGCATTGTTTTAGTTGCTGAGTCGATTCACTCTGATAGTTTCGGTTAGCACTTCTGTCACAAAGACTTGCAAGACTATGTTTTGGTCCTTAACAGAACCTTTGTGACAGTTTTCTTATTCCACATCCCTACTGGATAGCTTCACTTATCTTTCCATCCTTCCAAGACGTTCAGAACTGGACTCGGTATTTTCTCTCTAGAAGCGCTGCTCTTCTTAAGCTGTTCCTTTTCATCAGTTCCACAGGTCCTTTGTCTTCCCGCTAGAAGCCTTCCAATTCTCTCTTAGGCTCCCTGCTCCGTATTTACACAGCCAATTCATTTCACAGCATTAGGCATCTGTGCCAGCCGCCATGCTAGGCCTCGGGGATAAAGACAAGTAATAGGCCCGTGGCTCACGCCTATAATCCCAGCCCTTTGGGAGGCCGAGGCGGGCGGATCACGAGGTCAGGAGATGGAGACCATCCTGGCTAACAAGGTGAAACCCCGTCTCTACTAAAAATACAAAAAATTAGCCAGGCGTGGTGGCGGACGCCTGTAATCCCAGTTACTCCGGAGGCTGAGGCAGGAGAATTGCTTGAACCCGGGAGGTGGAGCTTGCAGTGAGCCGAGATTGCGCCACTGCACTCCAGCCTGGGCGACAGAGCGAGAAAAAAAAAAAAAAGACAAATAAGGTAGGTCTCAGCCTTCGAGAAGCTCGGTCTAGTGGAGGACATGGACCATATTATCCTCTAGTAAAGGGCAGTGAGAACTATGATAGAGACAGGCACCCAATGCAATGGGTGTCCAGAACACGAGTTTGCCCAGAGAACTCAAAAAGGGGAACACAGGCGGTGTTAGAAACAGCACAGTGGAGTGGAC